GCACAAAAAACGCAAACTATTACTTTTTTTATTTGGAACAAAGATGTTTTTACCTCAAAAACATGATGTTATGACTGGTCCTCTTCCACTGTTAAATTTTTAATAAGATTATAATAGGATACACATAAACGATATTGCCTATACAACATTAGACATCAGGAAAGAAGATATGAGTGCCTTGATAACTTTGAATTATAGTAAATGAATGAAATGATGTAATATTGTTGCACTTAAACTTGATTCCTTTGAAAATATTTCTTCTCAGAGTTGCCTAGAAGGCATAGCCTGGCTTTTCAATGCTTAAAGATTTATATGGAAAAAGACCTAAGAGCACTTCTTCGGAGCACCTCAAAATCCTCTCTCCTGCTCCGTTATTTGATAAAAAAAGACTTAAGAAATTGGAAAGAGCAAGGTAGAGTTCGTTAATAGTGTCGTTATCATCGTAATTACATGTCTAGCATCTCGGAATAGTGCAGAAGGAGTTATGTGAGTTGTCGTAGTAATTTATGGCAAAAATGTGACTATTTTTTTCTTGAGAAGTAAGTTCAGGGTTATGTAATGCATGCCTGATATCGGCCAACTCTCTGAAGGTTGAAAAGTCGTGCATAGAAAGATTGTGTACTACTAATCTAAACCCAGGTTCAATCCCATCGCTTTGCTAAGACAAACAAAAGCGTTCCAGTCGAAATATCTATCCATGTGTTACCAGCTCACAGAAGGCCAAACGGGAAGATTTGCTCACAAGGAAGAAAGCACCAAATTTGCCGCATCGGATCAAATGTCGCTCATTAGTACTTTATAATACTTAGAGCTTTCTTTTTAATCAAATTATTCAATTCGCTCCGTCGTCATTTGGTGCACCAGTAAACGTTTTAACAATGCTTTATGTCGATTTTTTAATACTGTCAGAACAAGTGCAATCTGTTAATCGTCAGTTTGTGCCATTTCAAATTTCATTTAAAGAAAATCTCTAAAAAGTTTTCAAAACTGTTCGGTGTTGAATTTGGTTCTTTATCCTCCGTACATAATGTGGAAATCTCAGAATCTGTGAGATTCTATGAAATAATCTCCTGATAGGCAGATGAAACTTTCCATAATAATATGTAAAGTTTCGGAGAAACAACACATCATCGTAGAGGGGATGACAAGGAGATTATGAGTGTCCAGAAGTTTTGGAGAAGCTCGTTCAGGCATGCAATTTCTACGCATTAATGTGCTCTATTGACAATAAAAATTCACTTGAACAGATCCCTTCTTTAAACCTTTGAATATATTCGGATTTATGAGAATAATGACGTTGAAACTACTAATTTGAAAGACCCCCCTCCATTGCGTTCTTGTTAAAAGAACGTCAACTATGAAAAGTTTTGAGATCATAAATGGTACCCACCTATTATAGCGTAAACCACCGACAGAGCTCGTCCCATAACTGTTCTTGGGACAATGTTACCATAACCTAAAATACAGCATTTAAAAATTCTCCAAAAAAATCAATGCTTTCTAAATAATCTGCTAAATTTTGAGAAGAAATGGTTGCTAGTCTTTGAATGGGTATCTTTACGAGGTAATCGTAAAATGTTAAGGGTATATCTATACAGAGAGAGTAGACGGGTAGGATTGATTGTAATTCCTAGTAGGGAAAAAATTGTCAAACAGAAGTTCGTGAGCGCAACCACATGGAACTTATCCTTCGTCAAAAACACCCAAAGGCAACCTAGCTATATTTCCTACCTATAGTGGTAAAAATTGTTCCCACATAGAAAAGAGCACCCCACATGTCCCATTCCAAAGCTTCCGGGAGTTTCACTCTTTCAAGCTCCTTTTCATACCATAGGAGTAGATCTCTGAAATGAGTAAACTGATTTGAAAAGCAATCTGAAAGATTCGCAAAAAAATCAATTATCGATTTTCCACCTATTTGCAAAATCGCAAGTGAATTGAAAGAGGCTTATCAATTATCGACATAGCTAATGAAGAATCACCTACCTGGATCTCATAGCTCTTTCTCCTCTTCTATTGGTCT